AATGATTCTCCAGTAGATGATGAGTCCAATAGTTGATCTTGAGCTTCAACAGTGCCATCCTCTGGCAGTTCTGGAACTGATGGCTCGATGTTGGCAGTCTGTAGTTGAGATGAAGGCTGGGGTTCTTGTGCCTCAGTGTGATCTGGTGGTGTTTTATCAAAGAGAGCGTGACCAGCATTAGCTTGGGGAACAGGGGTGGTATTAGACGACTCCAGTGCGACAGTGTACTCAATAACAACCACATTTGGAGAAAAACTCAGGGAACTGATGTTTGACTGGTTTACCAACATGGGAGAAATTAGATGTGCTTCAGGTGACAGGACAGAATCAATCACCAAGGTCCTTTGTGCTAGTTCACACACAGATGCGTCTGTAAGAAACTGAGGACCTTGTAAACTTAGACTTGGGGTTGTGGGAATGAGCGCATGGGTCACACTTCCAGGGGCAGAATTAAGCCAGTTGGGAAGAGACACATTAAAAGCTGTCAAAGAATTTCCGACAGCGAGTTCCACAGGAGTGTTGAGCACTACAGGACTGGAGGACTGAGCAGTGGAGCAGATAGGGTGAAGCTCTTGATTGGTTATGGATGTTTCCGCTGGTAGGAATATCTCTGTGGGCTCTGAAGTAGCTGAAAGGGGCTGGGCTGGAGAGGCAGTGTGCAGTGCAACAGAATTTGGCAGAGAAGGGGTTGCATTCAGTGCAGGAGGAGACGGTGGAGGCAGCTCAAACATAACACTTTCAGGGTTAGCAGGAATTGGCTCAGACACAGCCATTGTTGCTAGATCTGTTGCTAAAGGACCATTGAGAATTCCATCTGCTGGTGTAGGAACATCCACTGCAGCATACTGGCTTAGCAATACTTTCTCCAACATGCTTGAGTTGGGTTTAGTCCTCCTAACTGATGTCTGGAAGGCCAAACATCCAGTTGAGTCAGACTCTATACGATTTCTGCTCATGCTCAGATCCAGAATACAATCAGCTAAGACCTCACTGTCTCTCTTACCCACAGCACTGGAGAGATCTAGCGGCTGCTGATTGCATGACCTGCCGCCAGTCCCTGATGCAGAGCAGTCCAATGGCAGAACTTCCTGAGTGGTTTCAGTACTGTTTGTAGCTGGATTTACAGTTTCCATTTCTTGTTTTTTAGATAAGCCCATCACAGTAGATGTGCAATGACTGTCTATCTTTGGCACTTTAGGTGCAGAAGAATCCATTTCCTGTACAATGGTAGATTTAAGCATTGATGTACTGCTTTCCTGTGGAGAGTTAGGAGGGGATGTTGTCCTTCTCTTAAACCTGCTACTTGTTGCAGGTAAAAGTGTTAGTGATAAAGGTGGACAGAGTTTTTGGCCTTCACTGATTTGAGAAAATGATGGCTTACTGCTGTCCTGGTTCTGTAGGAGCTGCTTTAGCTTGGGGGACAGATAAATAGTTTTCTCTTTTTGTAAAACAATGGTCTCTAATGTCCGGGGGAAAACAGTGCCAATCAGTGTACCTTCTGAGGCAGAGGAAGGTGTTGTTAAGATAGATTCAGACTCTAGTTCAGTTTTAATTTGTGGTAATAAAGGTGGGGTAGATGTCCTCCTTCTGCCAGAGGACTGACCACAGAGGTCAGAGGTCATGCTGCAGTCATTAGACTCTATTTTAAGGGCCTGTGTAATTTGAGCTGGGTTGACGATAAAGGCATCCAGACCAATCACAGCAGCAGCGGAATTCAGATCCATCACTTCACAATTAGTGACAGCACTGGTGGAGATGATTTTCCCATCAATGTAGAAGCTGAGGTTCTCAGAGATGTTGCTGGAAATATCGACCATATACTCCTCTTCTTGCCTGACCTCATCACTGTGTTGTGTACTGGAAGACATTTCTGGCGCACCACTGGAATGCTGAACTTGAACCTCATGAGAGTTTACAACTTTCTGACGGACTGCTCTGGGTAACAGACGTCGCTCGTGTATCCTGCGCTCGTGCCTTCGCAAGCTGGTGTGAGTTCCAAATGCTTTCTTGCAGTACTTGCAGGCAAAAGAGCACTTAGTCTCTCCAAATTCATCCGAGTCACCTCTTCCTTTCAAATCAGGCACAAGAGAGTTGCTGACTGGCTGGGAAGTCAGGGTAAGTTGGTCTTCCTCTTGTGAAGAGACCATTCCCTGAGTCTCTCCGACAACCTGTGGAGCAGGGCTAATTATGAGACCACCTGTCCTTCTATTGGTGTTACTATGTCTTCTCTCATGCCGTCGTCGGCAGAACTGTGTACTGAAGCACTTTCGGCAGTAGCGGCATTTAAATATCTGTGTGTGGCAGGATGACAAGGCGTGCATGTGCCGCTCCAGGCCTTGCTTGGTAGTAAACCGTCTTTGACAGTGCTGACAGAAGAACATGCATGAACCCTGGTGGTTGCCATCAGGGTTAATCTTAGGGTCATAGTCAGGGTCCAGGTCAGCATCTGCTTCACATGAGGGAGAGTCTGATTTATTGTCCTGTTTGAGCATTTCCAAGTGTTCTGTCTCACTGGTCTTACAGGGTATATTTTGATTTATTACGTCAGTGGTTTGCAATGGTACTGGCTCCATGGCTGGCCTACCAGTCCTCTGTGCTGGCAAAATGTTTTGGTCCTCCTCAGACTGCTCCATCATGTCATCAGTCCCTCCCTCTGCCTCACTCTCTTTCTCCTTCAGTGAGTCATGTAGAGGGGGAGATTCCCCAGTCAGAGAATGCTGATGACTATCAGTGGGGCAGTGCAGAATTACATATTGCTGCTGCTCCTCTGCTTTCACTAATGCAACAGATTAAAAATGCACATCAGCTCCTATCCAAAATATTTATCAATAATTTCTAATAAACAATTATTCTGGGAACATATTTAGGCTTATGTCACACAGCAATTAAATATACCACTTTGATTTATATATTTTCCTATGTGGTATTCTATTATTGTTGACATCAATATAAATGTTTACCATTCTCAGAATCACCCATGTCTGCCCCACTGGCTGTTGTCAACCACCTGTTTGGCTTTACTGTTCCAGCTCCTTTGTGCTTTTACTGAGATTTCCTATTGCCTGGGAGACAGAATAATTACCATTAATATCTCATTTTATACTTCACATATTTCACACAGACAGTGTATGAGAATGTATTTGTGCATGTGTGTGTATGTGTCTCAGTGACAAACAAAGTAACCTATATAGAGTCATTACACACCAGAATACACCATCCCACTTATTTAATGTGCTAAACTACGATCCAGGGCTTGACAAAATCTGACAAATTCATAGTCACACCCTTCTATTTGTTCCAAACGTCATAAAATACTTCAGCCGTTCTCCTTGCATTGCTTTGAAACAAAATCCCTTTTTAGCCCTGATCTATCATTTATGCCTCATGTAACCAGCTGCATGGTTTTATATAACAGAGTCATGCTCCACATTGAAATTAACGTCTGTACAGTCTCCCACCACTCAAACTCAACCTAAACTCAACTGTTTATAGCAGGTATGACTACCCTACTATATTCCCCAGCAAGATATAACGCAGGGTGGTGCAGGATAAGGTGGGGAACAGTGTAGACGCACTTTGGCAATTAGGGAGTTCTTAATATGCGTTTTATTATTTATTATTTATTATTTGAGCAATGTGCGAAGACGCTTGCTCATAAATCTGACCAAGCTTTGTTTACCGCCGATGCACAGAAATAGCCTGATTATAAACCACACAGTACGCCATATTATCACGAGGGTATGAGAGTATAACCAGACACTAGTAAACCAACCACGCAGATTACACCGGATGTCAAGATCTGACGGCTCGGGCTCGGGCTCTGGTTTTGTTTATATGGCATAACACTGGCAATGTGATTACAAACTGCGTCGGCGCGCTTATTAAATATATATTCTTACAAAACCTAAATTATCCACAGGCTTGCACGACGTGTGTCGAAGACGAGTTAACAGCTGAAAGTGAATGATTTGATGGCTTTATTCATTCGCTGCAGGTGAAGCCCACATGTTGCGGTGGTGTGTGTGTGTGTTTCAGACAGACAGCTCCTTTAAATAAACGCGGCTCTAGCACCGCAATCTGGAAGGTCACAGTCACTCACACACACACACACACAGGCGGGATTATCTGCTGTATCATGCATTGCAAAATCATCGACAATACAGCAAACGTTATGAGGTGTGGTTATACGAAATAACGCAAGATGATCTGCAAAGCGTCAGCTGGTCACGAGTTAACTGTCATCGTCGTGTAATATAAACAAGATGTTATTTACTACATTAGCTCCCAGCAGTGGGCGAGCCTGGTCTAGTTTATTAATAGCATTATAGTAGGTGAGGAATTGCACACCTGTGCATTTCTTACCGGCTTTGTTGGTATCTGGTCACATGTGGGCAGGATTTGGCCTGAACGGTGCTGCAGTACGAGGCCCGGTGGCTAAAAGCTAAACGCTGATATTCACTGTCACTGCAGCAGAGCGCACGCAGCGAACTGCGCATGCGCGAGCGCTCATTCGCCTACAGAGCTTAGGCTGTATCCATACTGCATACTACCGTACTAAATAGTATATCTAAATAAGCCTTTGGCGTGTACGTTTAACATACTATTTAGTACAGCAGCAGACATTTGAGAAAAAGCATATATTCATTTTCAACTCGTGGAAAACTAATAAGTCATGATGCAAATATGCTCATCTAAGGAATTTAAGGGAATTGTAATTCTAACTGTAGTAGAAGTTTCTTCATAAATCCTTATTCAAGCCCAGTTCTAAGCCCAGTTCTGTGGTCCCTTATTGTCAGAAAAAAGGTACCTCCATCCATCCATCCATCCATCCATCCATCTTCTGTACCGCGTAGCCTACACAGGGTACCCTGGAGCCAGTCCTGGGGGACTTGGGGCACAAGGTAGGGGACACCCTGCTAGCCCATCGCAGGGCACAATTGCACATACAGGAAGCCAGGGTGCCTGGAGGAAACCCCCGAAGTATGGGGAAAACACACATAGGGCAAGTGTGGGAATCGAGCCCACAAACCCACAGGTGCAAGGTAGCAGCACTAACCACTAAGCCACCGTGCCCCCCAAGGATCAAACATTGTGTTAAAAAAAAAAAAAAATCCTTAGATTCCATTTACCACCTCAGGGTACCACCTCATTCACAAGCATTTATTTCTGATTTGGAAGATTTTTAGTCCTTCATTTATACTGCATTTGTATTGTACCTTATTTTCTCTTAGCCATTTTACTCTATCCTATTTTCTGAGTAATCAAGGTGTACATCAAAGGCTTAAGAATGTAACCATTTAAGAATGTAACCGCTTTGAAGTGCTCCAATTAGTGTTTAGTGAAATATGTAATCCAGAAGGGAGTGTGATATGATCTCATCCCATGTCAGAGTGTTACACCAAGTGTTCATGGTACATGTAGTGGAATTACCTGGTTTGTGGAAAGTACCGAATAGTATTAAATGTGCAGAAGGTTTATGTCATATACTGTCTTATCTTTTAATTGGCTCTTTTTAACTCTTTTTAAAAAATAGATTGGCTGAGCTCATGCCACAATTAAAACTAAGTCAGTGGGCCAATGAAATAATTGTGGCGAAAGGTAGGGGTATGATTTACAAGAAAAAATGAGAAAACTCTGCCTGATGAGATCATTACTTTTAGAATTGTGTAAAGGCTTGGGCCACGACTATGTAAAGCAGGTGTTCTGCAGACATCTCGGCTTTGTTGGTTGATTCAATAAAGTCTACTGATTTTTGCCGTCCTGAACCCCTTGTCTTTGGAAGTCGTTTTACTTATTCTGAATTGAAGAGTTTTTGCCACGAAACTGACAGCATCAGCCACACACTGAACTGTCAATCTGGCAGACAGTAGGTGAAACACACATTAACTCATCAGTTAAGTATCAGGTTTAATAGGTCAGCCCTGATTCAGCTCATCAATTAGTGACCAGATTTAGGTCATACCTGACACAACTCATCAGTGCATTACCAACCTCAGTAGGTCAAACCTGATTTAACTCATCAGGTAATGACCAGATTTAGTACCTCAAAGCACATCCAAACACACATTCACAAATAGGGCAGTTTAATGTAGCCAGTCCACCTACTCGCATGTTTTTGGTAAGAGGGACAAAAACAGAGAACTGGAGGAAACCCACATGACATGGGGAGAACATGCAAAACTGCACACAGACAAACCAGCGACCATGGAACTGTGACACAGCCATGCTACCTGCTGCAACACCATGACGCCATCAGTTAATTTATTCTTATAATTGTGTACCTTCACTAACTCCATGATTTAGTATTATATATCATTTTTATTTGCCCTTCTTGTTACTGCCCAAATGATTAATTTTGATGCCCATCAACTTTTAAAGCTGGCCAATGCATTCAAAGCATGACTGGGTACAATGAGTGGTTAATTTTGTCTTTTTGTAAGTAAATAACAGATTAATCTAAAATCTTAGAATTGTAATGTTGATTATGATATGCTGATTATTGTTTTGTCCAACTTATCAATTATTTAGCACCCTAAAGCATTCTTTGGTTTGGTCCTCTGCATGACCATTTCAACAGAGGGTGTCCAATTCAGAAAAGGTTCTAAGTAGAACCCTTGATGATAGGTACGACTGTTGACTATTCAAAGAATCCATGAGAAAGGTAATGGTGTGTGTGTGGGTGGATGTATGGAGGTATGTGTGGGTGACTGGCTGGGGACTGGGGTGGGGGGATTGGCTATTTGAGGCTGGTGTAATTGTGTAGGGTGTGGAACTTGGGTGAGAATTTGTGAGAATTTGAATTCTGTGGTTCTTTCATTCTTGTCATTATTACAGATGACCACTGGAGGTCAGTCTTTCAGTCCTTTAAAGGATCTATATCATGAAACCCTGTTTTCTTTTCTTTCTTTCTTTTTTTTTTTAAATAAAACATTTCACCATGTACTGAAACCATCACAGTCTATTCAGTTTCCAAAGTATTGAAAACTAATAATCGCTGTACTACAAGCCATTTAGAGTTGATCATTCACCGAGACTATTTTTTATTCTTCTGTAATAATTAGATCAGCCGAAATACATAAACATTTCAGTATAATTTCTGTCTCTGATGCATCAAATGTTTAATGGCTCTTATCTTTTAGATTTTACATGCTTGAATGGAGGCAGACACTAAGAATAACAAACAGTAGGATCCAAATGTTAAAGCTTGTACAGACACTTTTCAAGCAAGGGAAATCAGAAACAGCTCGCCCAATCTTTGCATTTGTATGACAATACCATTTATACCATGGCCAATTAAAACATTAATTTCTAATTGACTGATGGGTGTCTGTTGTTTTCTTTTTGTTTGTTTGTTTGATTACTTGTGGTACAATCATAAATAATGTTTAGGTATATTTATGCTCCTTTAAAACCCTATTCATAGACTTTTTGTAGAAACAGCAGAATCATGAAGCATCTAAATGTTAACCAAATCTTGGATCTGTGTCAACTTTTCATCATGACTTATGGAGACCGCTTTTTAAGATTTCCATATAGAATACAAATAGGAGGCAACTATCTAGCAATTTATTTCTTTTATTTTTTTATTCATTACATTGAGTATTAAATATGCAACTCTGTGATTATCATAGTTACTTTCCAGATATTGCATATATTGTGCAGTATACATGCATGATGGTGTACTAGGTGATACACTGATAAGCACATTCTACACATAGCTGAGGAAGTATCCGCCTGGCACAGCAGCAGTTTAGTCATTTATTATGTAGGGGAGTCATGTACGATTCAAAATTAGAACACATGAAATTTATATTGGGGTGTTCATTTGTTGCTTGTCTACTGTGAGATCATGTTTTCAGGCTGTAATGTAAGGGCTTATTTGGTAAATCCAGCACTGAAATTTTGAACATACATATGTGAAGTGTTTGTGTTTCTTGTAGAATATGTTCTTCTGTCAGCATTAGTGACCTTGTTCATGCCTTCATTCTGACAAACACATATATTTGCCCATTACAAGTCTGTTATTAGATTAGATTCAACTTTATTGTCATTGTGCAGAGTACAAGTACAGAGCCAATGAAATGCAGCACCCCTGGAGCAGATGTGGTTAAGGGCCTTGCTCAAGTGCCCAACAGCAACAAGTTTGACAGTGGTGGGGCTTGAACCCCCAACCTTCTAATCAGTAACCCAGAGCCTTAACCGTTCAGCCACCACTTCATCTTTCACTTATTCACTGATTTATAAGTTAGTTACAGTTTGTAGATTTTATAGACGTATAACCCCCAGCACATCATTACTACTGCTTGGTCTCTGAACAGAGTAGGAAAGGATTATAAAGCTGGTGTTGAGTCTTCCTGGCACAAGCCTTGCTGACCAAAATGACTGTGGAAAAAGCATTTAATTCTGGCATGCACTGGCTCGTGTGATTTAAATCCAATTGTGGAAGTGACATAACTGTGTGTGCATGCTTGTTTGTGTGTGTGTGTGTGTGGGTGGGTGTGTCTGTATTGGTTGAACATCGTGTTCAGCACATCCATACATTTAAAGCAGACAGTTTAGATATAGCACTCTCTTTTGTGTGTGTGTGTGTGTGTGTGAGGAATGTACATGTCACAGATTCCACTCAGCAAGGCTCTGCTCTCCTCAACAATCGTGAATTCTAGCGATATCTCAGTGGTCCGGGTGAATGTGCACCTACACTCCTGCATCTGTTCATCCACCCACACACTCTCTCCCTCTCACACACACAGCACATCCATTTAGCCCCACATGTGAACAGCATGTTCCAACCATGATGTTCTTATATGTTAATGTGTACAAGCACATGTACAGTGGTAGGCAGCTGATCACATGATCCTGAACTCTGTGTGTGTGTGTGTGTGTGTGTGTGTGTGTTATTGTTCTACTGCCCTACTGACCTGTGTGTGTAGTTTGCAGGACCACCTCTGTCTGTGTAAGCATGTGCATAATCTAATTAAACTGTTGTAATCTAATTAAACTGCTGTAATCATAAAGACTGTCCTGTGTTTATTCCATTATTCATATTCAAGTAACATCCTTTAACACACTTTATAGTGTGTGACCTTATAGTTTGCAGTTGCAGAAGAGCAATTATTTATAAGAGTATAGTCACCCAAAAGTGGATGGGTTCCCTTTTGAGTCTGGTTTCTCTCAGGGTTTCTTCTTCATGTCGTTACGGGGACGTTTTCCTTGCTACTGTCACCTCTGGCTTGCTCATTATGGATCTGAATCTACATCCGGATTTATGTGAAGTGCTATACAAATAAAATTGGATTAATCTGGAATGTTTATTGTGTCTGAATGTTTATGTGAACTGCATGTCATCAGGGATTTTCTAGAGGGTGGCTCAAGGGAGAAGAATTTCTTCATCTTTGGTCAATGGCAAGCTGAGCTGAGCTCCAGTGCATTGCATTGCATGGCACAAAACTACTGTCTAATGTTATGACAAGTAAACTGCAAATCTCAGGTCTAGCCACCCAAATGTTATTGGTTAAATTAGACCCTTTAGGACAACTAGGACATACAGAAACAGATATATCCACAAACCTTTTTGTCCAGTCACATTTCTTTGATATTAATGTTGATACTTCCATATAATAACACATATATTGAATTGGTGTTCTCATATTGTTATCACTCATAAAAGATCCTCTTCCATCTCCTAAATCCTAATTTAACCCCTGCATGTCATACTGTATCTCTGGTGATACATTCAGGATGCTTCCACAGGCCAGCATTTTAGGTGTGAGATCACATAAACATAGACAGATCAATGATTACTAACATCCTGTGCTGTTCATTAGGCCTGTGAACGAAGTGGGAGGTTTTGTGGTTATGATGTGTTTCGTGTTATGTCATGTTTATAGCAAGTGTAACTGAGTGTACCTAAGCCAGTTCTGACATTCAGTGAATAACAATAACAGGTTCGCTGTGGTTTTACCAGAAAAGAACACAGAATATGTGGACCCAGACACCATAATTTGAGTACAATTTCAGTTGCTTTGTAACAATTGGGATGTGGCAGAACATATGTGCGGAGACTCTTTATTATA